TGAACACTGCTCTTCACATGAGGACATTGTCTGTGGCCTGCCACAAGGGTCCGTGTTAGGACCTAAATTATTTATTTTATATATTAATGATCTATGCAAAGTGTCTACATTGTTTAAAGCAGTGTTATTTGCAGATGACACAAATTTATTTTGTTATGGAGACAACATACAACAGTTATTAGCTGATATAACATCTGAAATGATACAGCTAAAAATATGGTTTGACACAAATAAATTATCTCTAAATTTGAATAAAACTAAAATAATGCTATTTGGGAATTATAAGGAAGAAAAAATACAGTTACAGATACAAGGTGTAAGAATAGAGCAGGTCAAGGAGAATAAATTTTTAGGGGTCATAATTGATGAGAAGATTAACTGGAAAGCCCACATCCAATATATACATAATAAAATATCAAAGTATTGCAGTATTAAACAAAGCAAAGTATGTCTTAGATCACAGAGCACTACACACACTTTATTGTTCACTGGTTTTACCATATTTAACATACTGTGCAGAAATTTGGGGCAATAACTATAAAACTGCAATAGAACCATTGATAAAACTTCAAAAAAAAGCAATAAGAATTATTTATAATGTCAAATTTCATGACCACACTAATCCACTGTTTATTCATGCCAAATTACTCAAACTGAATGATTTGATTCTGTACCAAACTGCACAAGTCATGTATAAAGCTAAAAATAAGCACTTACCAAAAAATCTTCAACTACTTTTTTGTGAAAGGGAAACAAACTATAACTTAAGAGGCGTTATGAATTTTAAATTGCCTCGTGCTCGAACGACAAGAAAAAGTTTTTTTGTGTCTCTGTTTGTGGTGTGAAATTATGGAACAACTTGAAAATAGAATTAAAACTTTTGTTCGAATATACATGTATTCAAAAGGGCAATTAAAAAATTAATTATTTCAAAATACTGTGCGGAAGAAATGAGTGCTTAGGGTATATGTGTGCATGTATATGTATGTGTATGTATATGGATGTATATATGTATATATATATAGGTATGCATGGGTATGTGATGTGTATGTAGGTATGTATATATTATATCTGTGTATATGATGTGTACTATATCTGTGTACATAATATACATATATTTGTTGTTGTCTGTTAGATTGTAATGCAATGGAGGTACTGTGCAATTATTGCTTATAATGTACAGGAAAATGAGAAGTCTGTATTTGTTCTTCGTTAATTTGGGACTGTAGAAAAAAGGGGTGGGGTTAAATAAGTATTTACTTCCTCCCACTCCTTTTTCGGACACAAGGAAAATTCTGCGTAACATTTATTTTGCCTGTTATTATAGAATAGAAATAGTTACTTTTTGTGTTATATCTATGTATTTACGCTTTTGTCTTTTTTTATTATTTAGTTTTTTGTTTTTTAATTTATGTTCTATGTATTACTGTCCGAAATAAATAAACATAATAATAATAATAATAATAATAATAATAATCAGGTTAAGGTCAATTTTAATTCATTTGAGAATGCTAATAAAAAGATATGGGCAACATTCAAGAGCGTAATATTATTTTAATATTATTTTAATTCTTCCAATAATTATTAAATAGCGGTCAGTTACGTGCCTGTTTGAAATAATTTGGTCCTCCTTACTGATCTGACTTCCTGAAAGAAAAATGGTCATTTTAAAAATTCAGTTGAATGTCAGATGATTTGCAGTTTTTATATTTTTATTTTATAATATAGCCTAGCATTGTAATAATAGACTGGATTTATATAGACGCTTTCGAGACACCCAAAGTGTTTTACAGAGAATTGTTAATTCACTTCACACTCTGTATTGTAAGATACTTCTGTAGCCACTATGGCCCTGGGGCAGACTGACTGAAGCTAGGCAGCCAATTTGTGCCACTGGCCTCTCCGACCACCACCAGCACTCACATAAACACACCATACACACACTAGAGTTAAATACTCAACAAGACTGTAAAGTTAGCTGTACCTTGCTATTGGAAAACATGGCAACAACCATTTTCAGTTTTCCATTTTTTTTGTTTACCTGAAGTGGGGTTTGGTGACTCTGTTCTGAACGATCCATGACTGTGTTGGACACTTCAAGATCCTCCACCTGCACTCCAAGGGGAGATGCTAAGATGTCTCTAGTGACAATTGTCTCTTCTCTGTCTGAGTTGGGTGGGCTTGGTTATTTTAATAAATCCATGGCTTGGTCCTGTCAGAGCTCCTGAGATGCTTCAGCCTGATCTGTAACATCAGATATGTTGATGAATGTGTGTGAATAAAAGCTGATAATGTGGATTGGTTTATAATAACATTCATTAACAAAGACACACCATAGTGTACTGTTTGGGAGAAATTAGATGAAAAAAATGCACATGTATGCATATGCATATATATATATATATATATATATATATATATGGTGGTGGACATCGCAATACCAATCAATGGTAATATCAGGAAAAAGGAACACGAGAAACTAGAAACCAGGGGCTCAAGGAGGAGCTGGAGAGAGCCTGGAAAGTAAAGGCATCAGTGTTGCCTGTGGTGATCAGAGCACTTGGGGCTGTAACCCCCAAACTGGAAGAGTGGCTACAACAGATGCTGGGAAAGACAACGGACATCTAGTCCAGAAAAGTGCAATACTAGGAACAGCAAAGATACTGCACAGAACTCTCAAGCTCCCAGGCCTCTGGTAGAGGAGAGACCAACCACCGTGGTGGTATAATTTCAATTAACTTTTTTCAGTCTTTTTTTTCTCATTTATTTTTCATTATATCTCCACGTTCCATTTTGACAGTGCTTAACAATTAAAGTTTAGGTCACTTGAGTGATAAATATATTCAGACCACCTAATCACCTAAGACCAGTAGAGGGCGCCATTTAATAACATATCCCACTCAAGTAACCCTTCCCAGAGCAGCAGAGCCTGACCACAGACTCTGAATCAGACCTGTGTGTACCTGTATAGTTGTTAGATAACTTATTACTACTAGTTATCATTTCAGGGTAAGATAATAGTGAGGCAGAAGTCAGGGAATGGGTAAGGGTAAAGGATTTTTTTTTATATATAATTACATTAAAATTGTAAGCTAGTCATGTGGTGAGTACAATGAGTACAAAACTCACTGGGACTTAATGGGGTCTGGGACACAAAGGACCAGGCGTTGGTGGTACATAGGCTAGTCTCTCCTTCTTGACTCCTGCTTTTAAAAACACCCTCATCCTTTAGCCTGCATATTTGCAAAACAAAGACACAGACCAAATGAAGGCATCATATATCATATAGTAGTCATTATGCTACACGGTTATTGTTATGTTACAATGTTTAACTTACCAACCCATAGATAATCCACTCCTGACCAGAATCTGGGTGGTCTCTCTGGTCCTATTCCTATTTGATGAATGTTTAGTTGCATCATCAGTTTAAAACTCAGTTTATTTATGCTAAAACAAAAATCTCTTCCCAAAGGTTAAGTGAGTGTCTATTTTCCACATTTCCACACAGCATTTGTATAGATTGCATTTTGAGCTATTTTAATGTGTTTTCTTGAAGTAACATTGTTAACCAACTTCTGGCTCCTCTGGCATTTCTACCCACCCCTGGTCCCTGGCCTGACCCACCAATCCCATATAGTCCTACTATACTCAGTGATGACTGTTATGTCTAGTTAGTGAAACCATATAGGCCCTCTGTTTAAAACAAGAAGGCCCACCTCTGCGCATAGTTTCACTTCAACCCCAAACTCCAGTGTTTTCTAGGCACTTAAAGCAACACCTGTCTTTCTCCTTTAAGTCTCGGGAAAAGTCCTCCTCCTCCCCGCGCCAGGGCACCAGCAGCGGCCCGGCCTGATCACAGACAGCCCGCAGTTTCCATTCACAACACTGTCTCAGCCCCCACCGCCGCTGCTCCGCTCCGTGTAGCAGATGCTGTGACGGGCGCCATGATGATGAGCTGGGATTTTGCCTGCAGCATTCACCAGAGACTCTATAAAAGGCAGAGAGATAACCGAGTCACACAGAGTGCAACAGTGCCGGGATAACAAAGATGGCGGAGTAGAGCGCATGCGCTTAGTGATAATAGAGAGAATGAAGTATGAATATAAAATGCGTTTTAAAAAAAAATCACCCTTGTGGACTAATACTAGAGAATGCGCTGCAATGTGCGCTGCAATGTGGTAGACCTGCAGCATATATTCAGGGAAACTACCATGCCTTGGCTTTATGATTTTGGCAACCCGATTTCCAGCTAAAAATAAATGTGCTAAAAGAAAGAAAGATAAAATGCATTTTACCTGTTATTATAAATGTATTTTCCTATGCTGAATACACGTGTTAACAGCCTTCAGTAAGTTCACAAAACATCCAAAGTCTGGTCAAATATTGGGAGCAGTGATGAAAGAATCAAAAAACAAAACATTATTTATTCATATAAGCTTATATGTAAACTTCACTTTCACTTCAACTTTCACTTTGGAAAACGATTTGTACAGCGATGCCTGCTTAAAGACCAGCGGGAGCTAAATTTGCTTTGTGTCCTATGTGTTGGATAGCACTATCCATTCTATATACATCTTATTATATACAGATTACAGAATTTATTCCTATATTCCTATCCATGTATATATATATATATATATATATATATATATATATATATATATATATATATATATATATATATATATATATATATATATATATATATATATATATATATATATATATATATATATATTGAGAGAGAGAGAGAGAATCTACGATTTGTGGTTCGTGCCATTACATATTTTAGACTTTTTAAAATAATTTATAACCGTTTTACTAGTTATATTTTAACTCATCAGCACTGAATGATTTTCATTCATATTTTTCATTCTCTGCCCCATAATCCATCGCATGTAGTTCGTGCCAGACCCGTGTGCCCTGGTATCTCTCCCTGTGCAGAGTCTCTGAGGCCAGGCTGCTGGTGGCTTGACTGCAAAGAGGCAAGAAGCGTCCGACCGGCGGGGGAGGAAGCAATGCAAGGAGAGGACACGGGGAATTTAGGCTGTGTCCCGTATTTGGAATAAGCCAGAAGACTGAAAAAAGCAGCCTTCCCCTTGACGTTTAACGAGCTGCCGTGAAACCCTCACGAATAACCCGCATTTTCACGGGTTCATTTTAAAACTGTCCTCCAAACTCCACAGACAGTCGGTTTGTGGACTAGAATGGGATTTAAAAAGCAGTGAGTTCGGGAAACAAGGATATATTTCCCCACTTGGATGTCGGGATCTCTGTAAGCCGATAGAGGAAGGCATTTCTTCGGAAAGGTTTGCAATTACGCGGCGATTCCGATGCAAAAAGAAGCAATAATGTTTTTAAGAGACGATAAAAAGTGACGTTTATTGCTGCTTCGCTGTTGGTTAGCTCCAGTGCTAAAGCTAGCAGGCTGCTAACTAAGCCTGTGTCGCCCTTCATTCCTGGAGCAGAGGAGGGGCGCTGGGGCTTTGTAAGCATTGCAGATCTGCCCTGCATTTTTTCGGCTCGCTGCAAGAATGGAAAACGCCACATATTCGCTAAAACAACTCAGGGGGCTTTGTTGAAACGCGTTGAGTTTCCTTTTTAGGACTATTTCCACTTGGGGAACAGCGAAAAACTGCCAAACCAACGCCACAAAAACCCACCCGGCCCAGGGCAGCAAGGGTCTCGGGCGATGACCACTTCGTTTCGGGGGTAACAAAATGGGAAAGTGTCGTAGTTCTCTTCAATGTAAGAACAATAACGCAAATGCTATGTGGATTTAGCTGCGGCTTGTCCCAACTTTTTTCTTTCCTTTTATTTTCCAGGACAAGTTGAGGGAGCTTGAACGCGCAGGCCACTCTACCCTAACTACAAGGCCGAGGAAGGAGCAAGTTGTATCGGCCATTCCCAACTCCTTTTTTTATTCCTAATTTTTTTTTAGAATAAGTTCCAAAAAGCGGGAATAACAATGTCGGGAGAGGTGCGTTTGAAGAAGTTGGAGAAGCTAATTTTGGACGGGCCAGTTCAGTCCAATGGCCAGTGCCTCAGTGTTGAAACATTGCTGGATATCCTGGTATGCCTATACGATGAATGCAACAACTCCCCACTCAGAAGAGAGAAGAATATCATTGAGTTTTTGGATTGGGGTAAGATAAGTTCCTTTATTTTTGGCTGTTTTGATCATGTATTTTGCTGTAAAGGCGTAAAATGCTGCTTGAAAGTGGTATCCCTCCTCCCTTTTCCCAAACACATTCCTTTTATAGTAGCAATGGGGCTCACTTAGGCCTCCTCTCTTGTCAAGCCTTCGTATAAGCTATATAATGAAAGTAGAGTCCTATTTTTGTTTTATAAGTTATGGAAAACATCACACAAGTAGACAGGAGCACAATTTAATAGGTGACACAATTGAGCAGATATACACAGGACATAACAGCAGTAAAGGGAAGCTTAGACAGACCCTTTCAAAGTTTGATTTGAAGCCAGGAAAGCTCTCAGAAACATGTCTTGCTTCCATTTGAGTCCACACGCTTCTCACTAACACGACATTCTGCCTGTCTCTCAGGCCTGCTTTGAATACTTCAGTTTGTTTTCCCTGTCATGGGTGTGTGTAGGTTAAAAGGCTTGTTGATAACTTAGCTTAGCCATCTTATCTGATTGTCATGAAATGAAAGCTGAGCTAAAGATTGAATCTCAAAGTTTGATTAGGTTATAACTAGGAACTTCTGCTGCTTCACTGAAAAGCAAAAGGTAAGGTGGAAGAGAGGTAGGACCACACACACATGCATATACACACAACAGCTCTATCACTGGTGCAACTGCAAGCTCCTGTGACATCCAGGGTTTGGTTTGTGCATGAAGCAGGAATGTGAACAACTCACCTTTTTTCCCCCTGATCTGACGCAGAGGCCCACAGCATGCTGCCGGAGCATGCCTGCCCGGCCTGGCTGTCTTTTTAAAACCCTCAGAGCAGACAAGTATTGAGGCGAATTAATAATAGAGCGGGATATGAAACAGGGAAAAGTATGTAAGTGTGCCAGGACATTCTTAGGTAACAGTTTTTGACTGAAGGATTATCTTTAATATAAATATACGTCTGTTTATCTATCCAGCCCTACCCCTTTTAATCTTGGCTGTCAATCCTTGGGAACTAGTTGGTGCCTGAAGTTTGTTGCTTTTGCATCTATCCCATTGATCCATCACAACATTGAGTTAAAGGCAGGTTATCCTAGTAGTGAGCTTATAATAGAAAATGTCTCTAGTTCCATCAGTTTACATTATATTGTACCCCAATAGTATCGCCTATTCTTTAAACTGCAAGGACAGAATACCCTATTTGAACAAATCTTTTATAGTCTTTTGTTACCAATGTTGCTTCAGTTTTGTGCATTATTCATTCAGTTCAGGTGGTAAGTTATAAACAATAGCCACAGCTGCCCTGAGGCTCACTGACTTAATCATAACCACTGTTCTACACAAATGTCACTTACTCTGATCACCACCGCAATCAAAACACACTTAACAGAGGTAAGCAGGATGAAGTGTTGCACAAGGATACGAAAAGTATGAGTTTGCAGAAGTGGGATTTTAACCCTCTGCCTTCCAATTGTAAGATGATTGCTCTGATTTAGATTTTTCTTTTGCTTATCTTTTCAATCTTTCGAATGACAAATTTCTCCTTTAGTATATGACTAGGCCTGTCACGATAATTACTATATTGGCTTTGTTCAATACGTGATAACGGAATGATATTTTTTGATGGTCAGTATTAATCATATCAAACTAAGTACAAGTGTCTCATTCATCTGTATATTTATTGCAGCTCATGATTTTTTTTAACAATATCTTACATTTAGAATAGTTGTTGTGATCTAAATCTGCTTTAGGAGTTTTGTGGTATTGCCATATATTGGTGTCTATATTTACTTCAGAAATATTACACTTAAAACTGTGTTATCGTGACCAGCTTTATGATCTCTAACTTTATGAATGATACTACTCATATGAGAAACAAAGGCCCTGTACAAATAGACTCACTGTTTTGGAGCTTAGATTAAACATTGACAAACTTGACTAAAAACAGTATTGAGCAGCATGTCTTCCAGTAGTCATCCTTTTGGCATGCATGGCAGTAAAACACTCAAATGGTGTTAGCGTTTGGCTGTGTGGCTAAGTGCCCAGGCTGCACCATCTGGACCACCTTGTAAAACGTGCCAAAGTGGACCCTGCCTCACTCGACTCCTGGAGGGGACTGGATTTAGTGCTTTTTCCTCTTTTATTCCCTCTGTCCCACACGTCCTGTTTCACGGCTTTATTCGCTCATGCCCAGCTGTACCACACTATTGCCTTTCCTTACATCAATCTTGCCCCTCCTGTGCCCAGCCCTTTTTTAGACCTTTAGCATGACATCATAAATAGGGAAGGGACAGTAAACAATAATATAGTGATAAAAAGAGTAGACGATGATCTTTCGTGCAATAATCTCCAACAAAAATAATCAATATAAATCACCAGAATGTGCAGAAGTTACTTATTCTCAAAGGAGCATTGTATAATTTTTCTGATGGAGGGTCCGTCAATTTTTTTTTGTCCATGGAGATGTTATTGCTTTGTCTGGAAGGTTTCAAAGTATAGTATTAAACGTTTCTATTTTCATGGAGGTCAAACCAGACCCTGTTTTTCTAGGTATTTTGAGCTATAAAACCACATAATAATAATAACAATATAATAAATGCAAGTTAGAGCTGTTTAATGTCATACTGTGGAACATTCCAGGCAGACCAACAGCATTTCCATAGAAATAAGCAGGTGACAGACCCCCAACCAAAAAGATACATAGTGCACCTTAAATGTTCTCTTCTAGATCATCATTTGCTCTGATAACAAAGTACAATACTGTAACAGTTGTTTAAAGTTTAAACTAATTCATAATATTCAAATTATAACTATTAATATCTATAACATGTTGAAACTGTTAGTAATATTAATATCTATTGTGGTATTATTGTTAATCTCAGTTATTTTGGTCATGATAATCGTGACTCAAAATCTCTACATCATCCCATGCCTAATCATAATTGACATTTCCTTGTGTTGATGCTATAAACTCCAGCAGACACAACACACGCCGCAGATGGGACAGGGCATCTCATCGTCCTCCATGTCCCATGTCCCAAGAGGCCTCTTGTTATATATGCCTTTTCCTCTGGAGGGGCGGAGTGGAGCGTCCCCTGCCCTCTCACGTTAGCGTTAATGAGTTGAAATGAGATCCAGAGAGACCCCATGGTTCAACTGACTGAATTGGATTTTGAAAATTGTGTAAAGAAATCCCAAGTGGCTATCATTTTGCATATAGATTTGGTGGTATTCATAGCATATTAATCTTGATGTCATCTGTTTACTAGCCTCTGTTTGGTCACTATAGAGAAGTCAAACATATGTCGAACTTCCTAGTTGCTAACCTTATTACCAATTGGCATTTAATAAGGTAATATAAATCATAATGTTTGCTTGTATTTGGGGTAGATGTGGGGTAGTAAAGATGTTTGTTTTTCAATCTAGTTTTGTCCAGACTACTTCTAAAGATGTTGTAAAATCTTCTAATTTACTTTAGATCATATCACAATACAATAATACACCATATCTCAGTAATATTACAATATTTGGGATTCTTGCCTATCACATTTAAGCATCATTACAAGTAAATGATGCTTAATGATGAGGTTGGCTAGATAAATTTTTCAACATTGTATTAACCACTACTTTTGTTTGCCCTTTCCTCATCTATGAATCTGAACACAACTCAAATCAGTGTAGCCTTTTATTAACCATGGTTGAGTCAATCTTGATATGCCCAGTGATAGTCTCCTGTTGTTGTTCCAGGCTTGGCTCTGGTTGCTAGCGATGTCTGTTTTTGCTCCTTGCCAGTGTCAACAGAAGTGCACCTGTTGGAGATGAAGTGATAATGCAGTTAGACCATTAAACACCTTCCTCTTTAAACATGTCCAGAGCCATTTCTTGCTCCAGACTGCTCTTGCTTATAAAAGATAAATTCAATCCCAACTGTGTTTAATTTGTGCTATGTTAAACCTGCATTGTGTAACTTTTCTGGAGGAAGGTCGGTCAGATGCTTTTCTCTGTGGAGATGTGATTGCTTTGGATTGTTTCACAGTATGGCACTAAACCTTTCTACCTTCATGGAGACCAAAGCAGACCAAGTTACAAGTCAGATCTGTGGAGAGGCAACCCCGCTCACAGTCAGAATGTCTGTTTTTGTAGGTATTTTTGAGCTTTAAAACTGCCTGTAATTGAATAAACATAAGGTAGAGATGTTTAATGTCATACTGTGGAACATTCCAGGCTGAGAAATGACAAATCCATAGAAACAAGCAGGTGATGAACCCTCAACCAAAAAGTTACACAGTGTACCTTTAAGTTACTGGTGAGATTTGTTAAGAGGAGACCCCAGGCACAGTAAGGACGCACGTTTTTCAAGGCAATAAAAAGACCTGTACTTGAAAAAAACACAAGAACAGCAAGTTAAATGCCAAACTGGAAAATTCTAGGCAAAGCAGTCTCTATGACGACAAGCAAGTGAACAGACCCTCCACCAGAAAAGGTACATAAAAAGGCTGTAGTCAACTAAAATTCATGGTGGATTAAAGACGTGTCCTGCCAATTAATTTGTCAACTTAACAGGGTGACAGGGCAAAAAAAACTCACTCTATATTATTATGTATATCTATGTATGGCCCAAAATACTAGTCAGCGTCTGCGATGTCTGAACGTTTTATGAATAGATGTACTGAAATTAAGCCAAATTTACTGTTAAATCCCATCATAGAGAAAAATGTTGAAGGTGGCCCAGTGAGTGAAACCTTAGCTGTCTCCTGTTTGTGAGTGATCCGCCTTTGTCAATTCGCTCACACGCAAACCATCAGATTACCTTCACTCGTCGGCCCGTGCGCCTCCTGGATACAGCGGCACCCTCCGGGACAAAGGGGGCGGCCATGTTCCCCTTTCACCCAGGATCATGTATGTGAGCCACGGAGAGGAAGACAAACATTGTATTGGGTTTTGCTTTTCTGACTGGTTTGGTGACCTCATTTGGGCTGAAATAGAGACCCCACCATGACCCGCAGCCACAGGG